GCATGCGGGGCTATGTCACTCACGGTTCCCCATCGCAACAACTCTTTTCTTTTATCTTTACACTTCTTTTAAAATAAAATTTCAGATTTGAACTTCTTTAATATTCTCATTTCTTTCTATTTTCTTTATTTTCTTTATGCTTTTTAATGCTCTTATAGTATGTATGCATGTAGATGGCCTCATGCTTACTATTCTTTTAAATTCATTTTGATGCAATAATCAATATGGAGTGTAAACATGTCATTCTTTACCATCTACAAACTCATCTCAAGATAACAAAAATCATATTCATACAGCCTTCTTTTTGACATTTCATCAAACAATTATGTGCCCACACAAGCTGTAAATTGACTACACTTCTACTTCTCTTCTAAGCCACCAAACTTTGAACAAAATTCTCTAAGTTAATGCCAAACCTGTCCAGGATTTACACTCCATAAATTCTACTCCAATTCTTCCATAATTCATCCAAACTCCATCAAACACAACATCAGTACACAAACACTATTTCTCATGAAAATTCTAACCATAATTCACTCCATTCCATCAACAATTCTTCATTAAGCACATACATGCTAAAAGAAATTCTCTACACAATATTCTCCAATCATAACTAGGGTTGGATTTACTTACCTTATGTGAGCAATCCAACACTTTAGTAGCCTTCCTGCACAAATCCCTTTCTCTTAAATCCTATGAACACAATCATAAGAATTCAACACTTTAAAAATTAAACTCTATCTTAGTGCAAGGATCTTGCTAAGGATGCTTGGGATTGAAATTCCACTAAAAATAACCCAAAATCTATGAATTTCCCTTGAAAAAGAGTTGAAGAATTGAGAGAATTTGGGATGAAGGGGGCGTGAAAGAGGAGAAGAACTGGCTAGGGTTCATTCTTCAACTCTTATATAAAAAATATTATTTATAGTTTCCCATTTTACCTTTGCACTTTCTATAAAATTTCATCTATGCCCTTAGTCATTACCATAATGCCCTCATTTTTATTGCATTCTCTATGAAATTCTATCTCTTTTCACTCCCCACATTTTCAACTAATTATGAGTGAAAAGACCATTTTACCCCTAATGAAATTTATAAGCCAACTTTTCACTCTGTTATTTTCGGTAATCTATTTTTAGATTGATCTCAGTGCAAGTTTTTTTGCTACTTCGTAGGTATCCAGTTTTGTTGTAAGCACCATACGTATCTCATGAGTTGACACCTAACAAATAATTGTTCTCCCACAGTGTCTCCGGTAGGAAATGAAGTTGTCTTGATGAACATAATCTACGGTGCTGGTGTTGGATTGGTTGGATTGATTGTTGATATTCTATAGTGTGGCCTTCAAACTCATAACATTGCAGTGGTGATATTTGGATTCGAATTTGAAAAAAATACATTGATTATCACAGACTTCCTTAGACTATAACCTGCTTTGATACCATGTCAAACAATGGTTTCTGTGAATAATTGTTATCTTCCTTCTTCTCCAAGATGGAGGCAATATATAGATACAATGACTACTTTAAAAAGGAAAAACCTCTCTAAGGAAAACTAGGCGCCGTTTGGTAGATTATTTGAAAAATGTTATTTTGAATAACTATTTTAAGTTGAGTTAGTTGGATTAAATCGAATTGGATCAGTTTTGAAAATGTGTTTGGTAAAATATCGAAAGTATATTCGGTTTATAAAATGGCAAGTTGTTTGTAGAATTTTCTTAAATATTTTAGATCTATTTTAACCCCTTATATTTGTTAATTTACAAAACACCCCCACAATAAAGTTAAAATTACTAAACACCCCGCCACCTAAAAAAGCCAGCCGCCACCACCACCATCACCGGTAGCCAATAGTCGCCAGAACCGCACCGGTGGATCGGTTGATCGTGCACAATAGACCATTTTCGCTAGATGAAAAACAGATTAGCTATATGGCCAGATTTTGGCCGTCAACGATGGCCAAATCTGGCCATAGATTTGACAGAAAAATCCCATTCACGCGCACGATCGCCAGATCCAGCGTCGTGTGGCGTTCCACCATGACGGTTAGCAATGTCGATAGTCGCATGGTTGTGTAGGGGTGGGTGGTCTTAGGTGGATTAATTTTAGTTGGAAGGAGTGAAAGGTAATTGTTTTTAGTTGAATGAGTTGGAAAAATTTTTGAGTTAAATAGAATAGATAATTAAAACATCCACCCACTTTTTATTTTGAGACAAAAAATCAATTTGAGTTGGATTAATTTTCTAATGAATTGACCCAATAAGTAAAAAACCATATTTTGTTTTTTAATTCAAATAAGATCAGAAAATATTCAAAATATGTAACATACAGTTCATATTCCTATATTAGTTACATTTAAACAAAGAATATCACTACCTGATTCTAGGATTAATTACAAATTAATCTAGTAATTACACCTCACATACAGCTCATGCTGACACTTATTTATTCCTAAACAGTCTAAATATTTCATCATTGGATTTTTGGTTTATCATAGTTAAGCATTTAAAATAATCTCATAAAAAAATTGAAATACACCATGAATTGGTTTTCAACCTATAAAAATATATATTTATAACGAAGCACATGATATGACCTTGTATATACTGCTTTAACAGAACACTATTTTTTTTTTTTTTTCAAAAACTTTATAAAAAGCTCAGATTTTCATCTTTATTTTTAAGGGGAGATCGAGACTGAGCAGATTGCTATGAATTATAAAAAATACTTTACAAATTGCTATGGAGGCTGCTCATGTTAATAAGTAAAAGAAAGCATGAAGATTGATGCCTCGGTTGTGGGAAAATGATTCACCTAAATTATAATGGAGCAGAGAAACCCTAATAACCTTCTCTACAACTCTACGCATGGAGTTCACGGAGAAGAACCAAAAGTTCACGAGCTTTGATCCACTAAAAGACGGCTAACAGAAGGTCCTACTATCTTATTTCTCTCCAAAAGTCATTCATACACATATATGCTTGTCTCTATAATTAATAATAGCTTGTGATTCTTTTCATTTTTTATACGTATATGGCCTTAAATATAAATGTCCTAAGGTATAGGAGATTATTTTATAATCTTTCATTTCCTTAATTAACCCACATGGCAATTATTATTATGAAGATTATTGTCTTATCTTATGTATATATTATTTTGTCACAGTATAAGAAACTGTACAGTACAACCAAATATGAGAATATTGCTGCCCAATAACGGATTTAATCAATATATTAAGAGTTTTTTATGGGTATTATTTATAGGGATCCAATTATTTTGCTTTGGTGGATATTTGGTAGATAAACGATGGAGATTGAACAAAGATATGCCTAGCTCAGTTTGTCTCAACAATTTCTTTTTTCCTGTAAATTCCCGTATATCTATCCATCACAATTTGGGAATTGAAGCAAGATACGTAGCTGGTGCAACATAGCACATGAGTGAGAAAGAGATGTTTGGGTTTGGTGATGGGCAAAGGCAAATCCAGAGAGGAAAATGACTAGAGGGAAGAGGTCAAAGACTCTCAGATAAAACATTATATTTATTTGTTGGCTGAGTTTCGTGTGGCTGTGAATGGCATCTCTGTAAAATGTGTTGGCTACAGATTTGTATGAGGACAGCCACGGAGCCCACATATATTATTCTACACATTCTCAGTAAACGAACAAAACAACTCTTATGTAAAATATTCTCATCTCAACTGCATTTCAATCATTTTCACTCAGTTTTGGGACTTCGATTTACGTTTATCCACTCTTCTGTACTAATTATATTTACTTCATTTATTCTTGTTTTGTTTCAAACCACTATATCATTCAAAAAAGAAAAGAAAAATCAATTACAAAATAATCAAACCATTTCATTGGACGTGGGGTGGTCACATCAAATCCATTTTATGTGATCATAATTTTGTATATCTGAAAACTCAGATAATGTGATCTTACCCTCTTTATCACAATCTTTCTTTTCTGTTTTTGCATGATCGATAAACCGAGTATTTTTTTCACTTGTTAATTAATTTTGTGAAATAAATTAATGTCAATTGTACGCTACTTGTACTTCTTTTATGAGCCAATTAAAATAATTACAGATGATCGAAAACTATGGGCGTACAGTATAGAGGTTTTTCAGCAGTTTCTGACAACGTATGTGTTCATGCAGGACTCTAAAATTATATACGTTTTTAGCTTATTCATTCATAATGCAGATTTTTGACGTATCAGAAGAGACAGGTTTCTAATTCAATAATGAAAATTTAGATGAAATTTATCAAAATCAATAAAAAAATTCAGCAAAAAGTAGGGAAAACTCTATACATATATATAACCCTAAAAATGAAACTGAAAAGGGACCATCACCATCCATTATTCCCTTGCAGAGTGTTGGTTTGAGCAAATTGCCTTCTTGTGTGATTGGGAAATTTGATAAAGGGTAGCCATTGTTTGTGATTGTGGGAGGATTATGAAGACAAAGTACAAAACTGGAGCCCGTGAACGTTTCCATGTGATCATAAAGAGCTGTTATAATCAGTGCCATTGACACCATATAGACCCACTCACGTGTGCCTTTTTGGCTTTTGCATTATTTTCTGAATTTGTATTAAAATATTGAACCAATTGAAACCAGAGAAGAAGGCCACAGAAATCTCCACAAACCAAACGACACAATAACAACCAATATAACTGTATCCATATCTTCAATAATAATGAAATCCCCAGTTAATTTTCTTGTTAATTGATGAAAGGAAGGCTTCACGTGCAGCACCATTGTGACATGTGGCAAAAGAATGAGCCCTGTGATCACTGTTGATCGGACCTAAATTAATCCCAACTAGAATTCACATAAAGGAATGTGTGTAAAGTGATTAATAAAATGCTGAATGAAACATAAATGCATAGCATTATCAAAAGCAATTTCTGATTATAACTGCTCATTCTTATGGCCTCTGCCTATATAAACCACACTCATTAACTTACTTTAGACAAGAAAAATAAGAGAACCTCTCTTTCCCTCTGTTTTCTCTCTCTCTCTCTCTCTCTACATTAAACATGAGAGGATTTAGTTTCAGAAGCCTCACATTTATGATCCTCATTGTTATTCTTTTATGGTGTTCAAGTTTTAAGAGCTGCAATGCCAGAAGAGGCAGGCATTGGAGGAATAGTAGAAGTTTTTCAGCTTCTTTGTCCAAAAACAAAGGAAGCACTACCCATCATACTGGTCATGGTAACCATAAATACAAACCAAAACCAAAGCCGAAACCGAAACCGAAACCAAAACCACCGTCTCATAAATCTCCCGTACCTTCACCTCCAGTAGTTACGACGCCAGCACAAGACATTCCGCCTCCACTTCCGCCACAGAAAGGCTACGGCAGCAGCCATTCTATAGTGTTTGACGTGATGAATTTTGGCGCTAAGGGCAATGGAATTACCGATGACACCAAGGTAAAAGAAGCTTAATGTCACTTATTATAAAGATTCAAAATGCAGAGCTCCACACATTTCTTATGTTCTTATCTTGAGTAATTCATTAATTTAAGAAATTACAATAACTCATGCATGCACAAGAATTTTCTATTTATATGTGGGCAAAATTTTAACGAATCATTTGATGAAAAGATTCTTTAATTCAATTAAAATATATTATGGTCAACAATCACAAAATTTGACACAAGTTAATAGGTCCCGTGGGCTGTGGCTATGCCTTGGCATTAGAGAAAAAGGTAAGAGGGGTACAGGGTACAGGAAAAGTGTATACAAAAATGAATAACTTAAGTACAAGGAAAAAGACAACACATAACACAACTAATAAACTACCAAGCTGGTGGTCCCTCTCAATAAAAAATGATTCTCGTTAAGGCAGTTTGGTCATAATATTAATACCAACCATAATTGAATACGGTTTTGTTTTTCTTTTTCAGCACCAACTGTAATTCTATGAATGAAATTATTTAGTTTTTAACTTTTTTAATTGTTTAACACGTGATGTGATGCAGGCGTTTGAAGCTGCTTGGGCAGCTGCGTGTAAAGTTGAAGCATCAACAGTTAATGTTCCGGCAAAATTTGTTTTTCTTGTAGGACCCATTTCATTCTCTGGTCCTTACTGTCAGCCTAACATTTTATTTCAGGTAATTATTCAGGAATTTATTATCTATGTTGTCTTTAATTTAAGGGATTAATTTACCCAAATATCAATTTAGAAATTCTGTTTTAATTGATTTTGGTCAGCTGGATGGGACAATCATTGCTCCAACGAGCAACAAAGATTGGGGAAAAGATCTACTATGGTGGATTGAATTTTCAAAGCTGAAAGGAATTACGATCCAGGGAAAGGGTGTAATTGATGGAAGAGGCTCTGTCTGGTGGAAGGACTCCCCTTATGATGATCCAATCGATGATGAAACCAAACTCATCATCCCATTAAACAGTACTGTACAAGAGAGGCCGCCGATGCCGGTAACAATTAACTCCGGCCATCAGTTTTTTTTTTTTTTTGATATGCAATTTGTTCAGCCACTGATTTAGTCTCTCCTTGAAACTGTGTGGTAGACAAGAAGTGAACTTTATGGGAAAATGCCAAGCATAAAGCCAACTGTAAGGACCACTTAGTAACACTATGAAATTCCAGTTGAATTTTGTTGACTATGCAGTTATTGAACATGATTTGTTGTTTGGTTTTGTTTTGTAACAGGCACTGAGGTTCTACGGGAGTTTCAATGCGACTGTGACTGGCATTAGGATTCAGAACAGCCCACAATGCCACCTCAAGTTTGATAACTGCATGGGAGTTCTGGTGCATGATATTAGCGTTTTATCTCCTGGTGACAGTCCCAACACCGATGGAATCCACCTCCAGAACTCCAAAGATGTGCTAATTCATAGCAGCAGTCTTGCTTGCGGTAATTAATTACACAAACCGAATAATTTTGTCTTTTCCATCACATTCAACTTTTAAATTCCGGGCTGCAGGTTGAGCTTGAATCTTTACAAGCAAGAATAAAACCTGCAAAGTCAAAATTGAGTTTATTTTGGATAAGACATTTTCAGTAGATGGCACTTAATTCCATAACCATATACAAAAATATTGTTGCATGATTGATAAACCTTAGTTTAGAATCATAGCAAAAGCAATCTAAAAAATTCCAAAAAAAAAGTTCAGCCACTGGTTATTGGATGCTTATCAAGACTGTCAGGGGATGGACCAATTTAGGGTGGGCTTTTGAGCACCATATTGTTGTATTCTCTCCAAGTTTGCTTTTGTCTTCACCTGCGACATGATCTTCTGTTTCTGTCTTCTTGTCTTGTCTAGTTCTGCTTAAATGAAAGCCTTATTAGAGGGCATATAACATAGAAGTGAACATACAACCGGACAATATGTAGAGTAATATTTATAATATCGAATGAAGCATTTCTAAATGCAGTGGGCATACAAACAGCAAGCAGGATAGAGATCAACTAAAGCCAGTTAGTATGATATAGATAACAAATGTTAGCAACCATATGTTGCCCTTATGCTAAATAAGCTTGTAAAATGTTATGCTTTTTGCAGGAGATGACTGTGTTTCTATCCAAACCGGATGCTCAAATGTGTATGTACACAATGTGAATTGTGGTCCAGGACATGGAATCAGCATTGGAAGTCTGGGAAAAGATAACACCAAAGCCTGTGTCTCAAACATCACTGTCCGAGATGTCATGATGCACAACACAATGAATGGTGTCAGAATCAAGACATGGCAGGTATTGACACCACTTACAATCCCATGTTCTATAAGAAAATTCTTGTAGTTTTAAGTATTGCATTTATCAAATCCTTAATGGCAAGGTTATGAGGAACTCTAAATGTTAAAATAATGCAATTGAAACTCAGGTAAGTGATTGTTTAGATTAACAAACATAGAATTGGGACTATTTACTGCTGAGTGCTTTAACTAACAGGCGATTGAATTAGCTCAGAGTAATGCCTTGTGCACTAGTTTAAGAAAATTTAACAAATATACTTCTGCTAAATCTAATACAGACATGGTTTCCAAAGTTTTAAACAGATATCGCTAAACTTTTGAAATGCTATCTTCATCCTCTCAGAAAGTTTTAATCAAATTTTCAACATAATCTGCAGTTATTCTAATACTCCCGTTTCATCTCTTTAGTTGGTCCAGCATCTCCGAAGTTGTAATTGATTATAGATATAAAACACTGTTACATGTTTCCCAGGCACTTCCAAGCTATTTACTAGTAGTTTCTCTAAAGAGTTCAAATTTCACATCTGCAGGGTGGATCAGGCTCTGTGCAGGGGGTACTTTTCTCAAACATTCAAGTCTCTGAGGTCCAACTTCCAATTGTAATCGATCAATTCTACTGTGACAAAAGCATATGCAAGAACCAAACATCTGCTGTGTCTCTATCAGGAATCACGTATGAAAGAATTAGAGGGACATACACAGTAAAACCTGTTCATTTTGCCTGCAGTGACAGCCTACCATGTATAGATGTAACTCTATCTTTCATAGAGTTAAAACCACAAGTGGAAAAGTACCACATGTATGATCCCTTCTGCTGGCAGACTTTCGGAGAATTAACCACTCCTACGGTCCCCCCAATCGCCTGTTTACAGATTGGCAAGCCATCAAGCAACCGACCTCAGTCAGGTCATGATGTATGCAGCAGCTGAGCGAGCTTAGGCTAAAAGTAATTAACTATAGTGTATTCATTTGTGTGGTAGGCATGACTGCTGACCCCTCTCACACCTTCAGTTAGTTAGTCAAAAGAGTGTATACTTAGTCAGTTCTAGTTTGCAGAATTTTCTTCTTTTTTTATTAGGATATCGTGTGAGTGAAGCTATACTATATAAGATGCTTGTGAGATATATAATTTACAGGTTTGGAGTAAATAAATCTCATTTCAAATGTCAGTATCTGTATCACTTATCTTCAATCAGAATGCAACAATTTCTGTTACATGTTCACATTTGGAAAAAACGAGGGGATGAAGATTGAAGTTAACCTGCAGTATATAAACACACTCATCTATATATATATATATATATATAACTGAAAACCCATATGTGTTGAGCGACACATGGCACATATTGGAAGCTCTAGAATTATTCCATTTTGACATATTTGACAAGTCAATCAAATTGTTCTATCTTGACACCAGTGACGGACCCAAGATTTTTGCCCGGGGGGGCCTTTGCAGTTCCGCCATTATTTGTCAAACAACTAATGAAAACTTTAAAAAAATTACCAAACCTTAAGCAAAGGATATAATACAATATCAATAATCTGAAAGAAAATAATGCAATAATACAATATTTTACTACTTGAATAAATCTATGAGAAGCAAAACCTTGAGCAAATTATGTTGAAAATAACATCCAATTCACGAGGAAACACAAGAAAATTTTTACGCAGAAAAACCTTTTCAATTAAAGAGAGCAAAAGACCACGAGAATCTAATGATCCACTTAAATTCAATATAATTAAAAGAGTTTACAACAATCACAATCCAAAAAAATCACAAATTTCTTATTTCTCCTCCTTTTTTTTTTTTTAATTTTTTTTCGCTCTCAAAGATTATAATATAAATTTTCATGACTTTGATCAGACCTAGCCTAAGCTAAAGTCAATCAAAACTTAAATTAAGTCAACGTTGCCTTGACTTTTAATATGAATTAATAAAAAAGGAAAAATTTTCTTAGTATAAACATAGATAATAACTCAAACTTCTTAAATAATTTTGAACAGTCAAACAGTGATGTTTGAAATGTAGGAAAGTGATGGGTGAAGGATGAAGAATAACATTCAGTAAAATATAGTTAAGGTTTAATTTGAGAAAGCATGAACATTCTTAAACACAAAACACAAAACAAACTCACAAGATCCATGCATTTTTCCATCAAATTAGAATAAAAAACTTCAAAAAATAAGTATGATTCAACCCTAAAATAAACTAAAATGAAATGAGCAATACATATACCTAAAACTGATTAAACAAAAAACGAAGCTAATTGTGGCACCTTGATTAGTGAAAGCTTCAACAATTTCAGTGGATAACATAGAGAAAGTGAATGAGAGAATAAAGAATTTTAGGGATAAAATCATAAAAAACAGGTGGACATAGAAAAAAGTGGTGAGAGTTTTAAACTTTTAATATGATGTAGGTCTGGAATATATATATTAATAATAAGTTTTTTATGAGTCTGGATATATGTATAATATTTCTCATTTTTTTTTAAAATCTGAAGGTAGACCTGGATATATATATTAATAGAATTTTTTTTATGGCCTATATAAACTTTTTTTTTTTTTTTCAAATGTGAGGGTAGGCCTGGGCCTACCCTCCAATGGGCTAGGTCCGCCCTTGCTTGACACGTTGGGTTAGTATTTATTGCTCTATCTATAATTATTAATTAATTAAAAAATAGAATCTATATTAATAATTAATAAGAATAATAATAATAATACATGTGCATTGCATTAGCATTCTAAAAGTCTAATCATAATGACACATTGGATTTGTGATTGACATGTGGTTGAATTTTATTGGTGATGATGTAGACAATATTAATTACTGCATTAGTATTCCAAAGTCTAAATAAATAGACATAGATATTGGATTACATAGGTGCATTGCATTGGTTGTATTAATAATTAATAATAATATTAATTATATAGGTGCATTGCATTAATAGTAAAAACATATATGTTTATTAATAATTATATAGGTGTATTGTATTGACATTGCAAACATTTCTTCATATTCAATTCGTATTTAATTGTGTTGGCATTCGAAATGTCTAAATAAGGGGTTATAAAATAGGCTTGAGTTGTGTATTATCGTAATATATTAGTTGGTGTCAACAATACGTGTGATCTTTTGTTAATTGCTTATAGGTTATGTTGGTTTGTGTCAATAATACGTCTGTTCTTCACGATTTTGTTAATCGATGATTTTTATTTATTTATGTTTTTGTTATTGTCTATAGGTCAAAGATTCATGAATTGGCATAGAATAAAGGAAGGATGTCCAATTGACATTGTCAAATAAGTTGTTATTTTGATTCGTTCTTCTGACTATAAGTATATAATCTAACTATTTTAATACGAAATTGTAAGTATATCTCCTAACTATTTTAACAATTATTATTTTGTTGAATGATTGTTTTTGTTCGGTCAATCTATTTGAATGATTAATTGTGTTAGTCCTACCGAACGGTAAGTGTATTCCTTAACAATTTTAATATGAAGATTAATTAACTTTTGTTGATTTCGTTTTCAGGTAACAATTGTTATACGAATAAATAATTGTTCCTTAACAATCTTAACATAAAGATCGATTAAATTTTGTTATGTTTGTTTTCAAGGAAATGTTTATGTACTTTACTAAGATTAAATCGAAGATGATCCTATTGTTAGCCGAACTATAAGTATGTGTCATATCTATATTAGTAGAAACAGTTCATTTGTGTTGAATATGTTTTTTTGTAAAAATATTTGTATACTTTAATTTGTTATATGAATGATTAATTGTTTATGTCCTGCTGATGTGCGAGTATATAAGTTAAATGAATTAATTTTGGTTGATTTTGTTTTTTAATTAATAGGTGTTATTTGAAATATTTTTTATCAGTCATAATATGATAATCCCTTAAATTTGGGTCAAGTAAACCATTCCTTTTATCATCACACGCATTTTGATTTCCACTGAACAGCTAGTAGTAAATTGACTATAACTTGCTCAATAAAACTCTAATTGATGAAAGGTTTGAATCTTTAGAAACTAGACAGATAAGGATTTAATTTGATATATTATACGCTTATTTGGATAGCCCCACTGCCGAACCATTCCTTTTATCATCACACATGTTTCGGTTTCTACTGAACAATCAGTAGTAAATTAACCATAACTTGCTCAATAAAACTCCAATTGATGAGAGGTTTGAATATTTAGAAACTAGACAGATAGGTCTTTAATTTGATATATTATATACTTAATTTGGATAAATGTAGCCTCATTTCCGAACCATTCATTTTATCATCACACACATTTCGGTTTCCCATGTTTCTCGATTTCCACTGAATAATTAGTAGTAAATTGGTCATAACTTACTCAATAAAAATCCAATTGATGAGCGGTTTGAATCCTTGGAAACCAGAAAGATAGAACTTTAATTTTATATATTGTACGATAAATTTGAATAACTATAGATCTATGGTCGAACCATTTATTTTATCATCACACACATAAAATCAATTAAATTTTAGTGATGACAAAGAAAAACAAATATTGATATGCAGTTTAAATTGTATTTGTTTTATCTTTTTTTGTTGATATTTTTTTATGTTACATAGATATATTGAAAACAGGTTGTTGCTGAATATAACAAATTTTATTTGTATCACAAATATCATCTAACATTTGTTGCCGAACCATGTAGCTTTAGTAAACTATTTATAATATATCAAACAATTATTATTATCCTTAAAGGAAAACAAATTTTGATATGTAGTTTTAATTATAATTGTTCTATCTCTTTTTGTTGATATATTTTTTTCTGTTACATACATATATCATGAAAAGAGGTTGTTGCTGAATATAACTAATTTCATTTATTTAACAAATATCAGCTAATGTTTGATGCTAAACCATGTAGCTTTAGTAAACTATTCATTTTATCATCACACACATTTAGATTTTTACTGAACAATCAGTAGTAAATTGACCATAACATGCTCAATAAAACTCCAATTAATGAGAGATTTGAATCTTTATAAATAAGACAGAAAGAGCTTTAATTTGACATATTATACATTTAATTTGGATAACTGTAGCCCCACTGTCGAACAATTCCTTTTATCATCACATATATTTCGATTTCCACTAAACAATCAATAGTAAATTGACCATAACTTTCTCAATAAAAATCCAATTAATGAGAGGCTTGAATCTTTAGAAACTAGACAGATAAGAATTTAATTTGGTATATTATATGCTTAATTTTGATAGCTGTAGCCCCATTGAAGAACCATTTATTTTATCATTATACACATTTTGGCTTCTATTGAACAATTAGTAGTAAATTAACCACAACTTACTCAATAAAAATCTAATTGATGAGAGGCTTGAATTTTTAGAAACTAGACAAACAGAGCTTTAATTTGATATATTATACGCTTAATTTGGATTACTGTAGCCTCACTATCGAATCATTCATTTTATTATCATACATATTTTGGTTTTCCCTGTTTCTCGATTTCCATTTAACAATTAGTAGTAAATTAGTCATACTTTTTCAATAAAAATTCAATTGATGAGCAGTTTGAATATTTGGAAACTAGAAAAATAGAGCTTTAATTTGATATAATATAATAAATTAGGATAACTATAGACCTACTTCCGAACCGTTCATTTTATCATCATACACATTAAACAAATTCAATTTTGGTGATGACAAAGGAAAACAAATATTGATACGTAGTTTTAATTATATTTATTCTATCTCTTTTTATTGATTTTTGGATTGATTTTGTTGTTTGATTTGTGGGTTTTACAATTATCATCTTTCTTTAGGATGTTATCATCAAATGTTTTTTTTGCTATAGGTGGTGGTCAATTCTAATTGCAGCACATAGATTTGTATCACAAGACCTTTATCTTCATAGCTTCAATTAAGTTGTCTTTAAATTATACTATTGGAGTTGTTTAATGCTTTCTATCTGAGTTCTCTTCTCAACATTCTTAATTTTTTTTTTAATTTCTAAAATAATAATAATCCATTTTCTCTTTTCAACAATTAAAATTGGTTTTTTACTTGGCTCTGCAAGTCTCTTGCTTAAAAGTTCACATTTTTCAACAATGTTTCTCTTTTTCATTGATTTATAGACTTATCAATAATACCCAGTGGGTTATCCTGCAAATTTTTTTTGCTTTTCTTGACAAAGTTTTAAACTTTGGTTGCGGATTTCAAATGGTGACATATTTGAGAAGAACCATGATGATATATACTTTGAGTTTAATTTGTGGATATTTTATTTATTGATTTTTTAATTATCAATTAATTATAAAATGAACTTCAATATAGAAAATATATATTTAAAACACCAAAAAACCAATAATAACATAAAAATAATAATAATAATAAACATACCCGCACAACGCAACTTGAAAATAAATATAAGTTACAGAAATTGCAGAAAGTCAGTATAAATTTTAAGTTTAAATGGTTGATCTTGATAATATTTGGATGATCTTAAATATCATACACGATTCATTACAAGATACTGACATCAAATATTAAAGAAATGTCTGCAAAAATAATATCAATTGTACAAGGTGATAATCCTGAAAATATAATTAGATCATATAATATTCAGGTGATCTTCTCAAGTTTGATGAATGATTTAATGATATCATGATTTAATGATATCTACCTATAATTGATATCAATAATTATACAGGTACAATTATTAATTTTATCTTAACACAACTTTGTATATATATATAATTTATATTTACTTTAAAATTTGTATAATTTAACGATTATTATGTCTTAATCTAATTGGTTTATTTTGTTAAAATAAATTTTTTTATAATTTATTTCAAAAATATTGAATAAAGGCTCATGTCTAGTTTTATATAATCCAATTTAAAATACACGCCGTCAACAAACAAATATTGAAGTTAACCTGGGCGTCGTTTGTTTCGCTTTTGGGAATAGTATTATTAGTATTCCCAAAAAAGTTAAACAATAAAATGTCATTATTCCCAAAATATTATTCTATATTTTTCAATTTCTTTTAAACCTCCTAAATTTTTTAATTTAACTAAACACTCCCAAATATTTTTTTTTAGAAATTGCAAAAACACTCCGGCCACCCTCCGATAGGGTGGCCGGCTGTCCGTATTTGATGGGTGGGTTGAGGGCGTTTTTGTTAACTTTTAATATTTTATTATAGGGGTGTTTAATAAATAAACAAACATAGGAGATATTTTTGTTAATTTCCAAATCTTACATCGTAATACCCACCCAATTTAACTTTTTTCAAAAGATTATTCTAAAAACTATCAGAATAACGAATCAAACGAAGCCCTGATGTTTCAAAAATTATTCAAAATATCATCGGCCCCTTGGGTTAAGTTTTGTCACACTTCCGTCATACCATAATATGAAGTGACCTTCTTACCCCTAAGACTTGACTTAGGCTTTCTTTTCCTTTTTTTTTTTTTTTTAACTCGTTCAACTTCTTAGTTCTTACCCCTCTCCTCTTGCGCCTTTATTGCGCCGCAGCCCTTCGATTGAATGATTTTTGGTAACCAGATGAGGGATGAGAGTGTTGAGGATTTTGAACAGCCATAAAAGGATTCTGTTGATGGATCTGAACTACCTATCGCCACTCTTTGTGGAGAGCAGAGGAGAGTGGCTGCTGCTGAGATCAATTTTTTACCATCATAGATTTCAAAGGTTTTATGGTGAGATTTAAGTGGTAAAGACAAACACACCCTAAGATTGTAATTCAAGTGGTGAGTATTTTACTTTTGTTGATTTTTTGTCTTTATTTTCTTTTGTATCATTGTATTAATTTGGTAACGTAGTCTGTTTGTTTAAATATTTTTAACTATCCTATTCATACTATTTTCAAAAGTTTGTTTCTACTATTATATTTTCTTTAACTTTTTAAACCTCTTAAGTTTATTAATTTAACTAAACACTAAAAAAAAAAAAAGGTTTAAAAATTAACAAAAACACCCCTATCCACCCACATTTGTCAAATTCCGATCACCACAGCCAGAAGGTGACTGGAATCTGATATAATAGCGCACTACCAGCTGGATCTGGTCGGTAGTGCGATGATCTGTCATTTTTCGGCTAAATCCTCCGTGGATCTGGTAAAAAAAGGCCAGATCCATGACCGAAGATTTGGTCATTGACGGCCAAATCTTTGGCCGTAACTGGTCGTCAACGTCGGCCAATATATGGTCGTTGTTGACCATCAATGACGGCCATATCTTTGGCCGTCGTTGACGACCAAATATGGCCAGATCTGGCCGTCGCCGTAGATCTGGCCTTTTTTTGGTCAGATCCAATGTGGATCTAGCTAGAAAATGTCATCTTGGTGCACGATCGACCAGATCCAGTCGATCGTGCGCCGATATGGTGACTCTGGCCACCTTCCGACGGTGATGGCCGCTGTCGAAATTTAATGAGTGGGGGGTGTTTTTGTAATTTTTAATGTTTTTATTACAGAGGTGTTTAGTTATTTAACAAACTTAGAGGGTGTTTTTGTTAATTTTTAAATTCTACCTCGTTATACTCACCTAACTCTAAAAATATCAAAAATACTATCCAAAATACAAAAATAAACATACCTAGTAATTGAGAAGCGTGTTGGTGATGTAACCGTGAAAATCCTGATTTTTTTTCTTTTTTCCTTTTCCTTTCAAGGGGTTTTAAATGGGTTCTTTATTTTTATTTGGTATTGAGTGAAAATACAAATATGTCCCTGGTCAGTAACGGTAAATGTAAACGGTGTCAGTTTAAGAGTGGTATTTGACTAATTTTTTAAACATTAAAGTTAACTTATTATACCCAGAACCATCCTTAAAATCAGCATCTATGTGTTAGTTTTCAAAATAAGGGGTGGTTGGTAATTAACCTAGATTTAAATTGGCATCATAACTTGTGTCAAACCGTTGTGTCCAAATTGAGACCGAATCCCCTGCTTCGCCTTATCTTATCCGGTGGCTAAAAAGGCAGGAGATAACAACAATTAAAAAGAAAAATAAAAATAACGATATCTAACTGCCATCTTCAACTTCAGTAATAACTAGAAGCCTTCTTTCTATTTCAAAAGCATACACTTGCATTCAAAGAAGTAAATTAAGCTTTCACATAACGATCTTTGATCAATCTTTAATCACATTCAAGGGAGCTCAACACTTACCTTTCGAATCCAATGGCGCAAGTTTCAGAGAAGGAGCTGAATTCAATGAGAAGGAGAGTGGTTACTGTTGCTAACCATCTTGTTCCAGTTATCGCAAGTTCAAATTGCGAGTCTATTGTCTTAAGTAATGCGTCAATGAATGATAGCTATCACCGGATACATGGTGAAGTGCCAACGCACGACGTCGTTTGGCGAATTGCATTTGATGAGTCCGGCAAGGAATTCACAGACATTATTTATGAGAAAGCTGTCGATGAAGGGATTGCCAAGGTAAGATCGTAGTTAAGTTGTTTGAGAGTTATGGGCTACAAGTATTTCTTAATTAAACTCAAAACTTTTTTTTTTTTTTTTTTACTTATTGTTCTTTTGTGTTTATAAGATTACCATAAATAGGCCGGAGAGAAGAAACGCGTTTCGGCCACAGACAGTTAAGGAGCTTATTCGAGCATTTAATGATGCTAGAGATGATAGTTCGGTTGGAGTGGTTATTCTTACTGGGAAGGTGATGCTTATTGCTTATATATGCTTCTCTTATTCACTGGTTACAAGCCAACTTTTACTTGAAAAATGTTTCTGGCTCTCTGTATATTCACTCACCTGCTATTTGTAAAGCTGTATAGTGATTAGTAAATGTTCAAAGGTCTATTCTCTGTATGCATTAAGAGTACATTCTTTCCCATACAAGCATTTGAAAATCTTGGTTCTTGCATTGTCAAATGGAAAATCCATTTTAGGAATTGATGGTATGCTTTGTATTTTCCAAGTGAAGTTGTGGATATGAATACCAGATATCAATGAAACTGCAACTATGCAAATCCCAGTGTCATATTTCTGGATTTAATGTGTTTTTTGTTTCTATGGAAGCTTATATTGATTCGTCATTATTGAAAAATTGTTGTTGTAGGGAACCAAAGCATTTTGTAGTGGTGGTGACCAGGCTTTGAGAACCACAGATGGTTATGCTGATTATGAAAATTTTGGTCGTCTTAATGTCTTGGATTTGCAGGTATTAAATTTACTCTTATAAAAGTACTGTTGTAAAATGTGATTACATCGACCTCTGAGACCTTGCTCCTAACCAAAAGTTGATGGAAGCTTGCTTGACCTACTTCACAATCCCAATAGGCATCACTCCTGTTTAAAGTGTCATTTAAATGCTAACTCTTGCAATTGTTAACATTTCATCACCACCTTCTAGTCTAGGGTATGCTCTCTGTACTGGATGCCTCTGCATCACATATATATCTTTCTCTCTTTCTCCTTTCCTTCCTAGTTAATCATGTTATGTTACTCACCATTATCATGATGCAGGTACAAATTCGTCGTCTTCCCAAACCAGTAATCGCAATGGTATAGCTTCTAATTTCTACATACAAATGATCTCACAGACTCTCTGGTATGGAGCTGTGTAAATAAAAGTTCTTGGACATTATGGTTAGAATTGAGCTCTATGTGGTTTCAGGATGCATGTATGCTAGTCTACAGTTCCTTTATCATGGGTTTGAGTCTGTTTGACAATCGCCAAATTGTTAATTGTTTGTTCATTTTTACTTTTTATCATAAAAATCCCAAACCAGGTTGCAGGTTATGCTGTTGGTGGAGGGCATGTGCTTCACATGGTTTGTGATCTCACCATTGCAGCGGATAATGCTATTTTTGGCCAAACTGGTCCAAAGGTGCTTCTACCATATCCGCTCATCTCTTGCTTTTAGGGAATTTCGATTTGTTGGCCATAATTAATCAAGCATGGCAAGGTTTACCTGAGATGTCAAGCTAACTGCTGTTTAATTGTATTGCTATTGCAATCAAATTGGTTTTGTGCATATTGAAGGTTGGAAGCTTCGATGCTGGATATGGAAGTTCCATCATGTCTCGTTTGGTAAGTCCTGGTAAATAAACGTGTCTTTGATATTTTATCGGTGCTTGTATCACTTTGCTTTCTATTATGTTGAAAATCCTATAATGTGATTTCTTGACGTTAAGCACTTCGTCTTTGTGTTGTGAGTGGTTGCTTAGTCGAAAATGTACTTCAATATGTGAACTTTCTTGAGCATAATTTATTTAAAGTTCTCAATTTTCTGGGTTTGGACATGATTTTGGTTTACAGGTTGGACCTAAAAAAGCACGTGAAATGTGGTTTTTAGCAAGATTTTACAATGCTGCTGAAGCAGAGAAAATGGGACTTGTCAACACTGTTGTACCGGTGAGTTAATTTGTTATACAATTCGTGCTCTCAACACAATGCTTATCTTCCCTCCCATTCCCCAACTTCTATTCTTTTTCCCTTGGTGATCATTTATTCTACGATTCAGTAGTTAAAGGTACTTGATGGATGAATTTTCCAGCTAGAGAATTTAGAACGCGAAACCATTAAATGGTGTAGAGAGATCCTAAGGAATAGCCCAACTGCTATTAGAGTGCTTAAATCAGCGCTAAATGCAGTTGACGATGGCCATGCTGGACTCCAGGTATCTTTAATTTATTATTCCTTGTCAAAAGAGGTTAGAAAATGTGGAAGAAGAAATTAAGCAGTGACATGCCTTATTTCCCAAGATCTGCAGTCAATTACATTGCTTTTATATCGTATGCATTACAGGCACTCGGAGGAGATGCCACACTCATATTTTATGGCACCGAGGAAGGTAATGAGGGAAAAACTGCATATGTGGATCGCAGGCGCCCAGATTTCTCAAAATTTCCTCGACGACCTTAATATTGAGTTACTTTCTTTTCTTAGTTTATCAACGGCATAGACTTGCTTGGCTGCTGCTTCTGTGGCTTAAATTTATGTTACAAGTACTGGTGGAGAGAAAATTTGAGATAAATATACCTTGAACTGGTAGTTTATTTTTTGGTATATTATGTGCACATTTCAATCTTGTTAGCAATAACATTTTGTCAGTTGTGAGAACAGACCAATAAATTTCTCAATAAATGTTGTTATTTTGTTCTCTCTTCACACAGTTGACTGTTTATTTGCAAAGCAAATCAGTCTGTGATTGCTAAATAAATAATGTCACTATTATTCAAAGAATAATACATGTTGAAAGGGTATACTTTATTTGATGGAATTACATAAATATGCACCCTAAGTTAAGGATATAAAATATTCGCGACGCAGCCTGAGCATACAGTACACTCGGGCCGAGCTTTGGTAGGAAATCACGGCCCAGGTATAATATATGAAAATGAAAATATTATAAAACCTTTTATGTGAGTTTTAGAAAACCCCCTAAAAATAACACTCAGATACCTTCTATCAAGGGGTGAGCGGGTCTAGGTACCTGCACCCAATCCCTTGGAAGGAACCCGAACCCGAACCCAGCGTTTCCTAGGATTTAGGATCGATCTAGTCAATTTTGGTTTCTAAATGCTTAGAATCGGAACCTAAACCATAGGTTTCAGTTTTGGGTCCGAGTACCCGACACTGTTATGCAAAATTATAATGTATCCCTCATATTCGCAAAAAATGACAAATATACCCTATGAAAACTACAAATAACCCCAACTTTTTTACAGAAATTACAAATACACCCCAGGTATCCGAACCTTGGTTCTAGTTCCTGGTTCGGTTCTTGAAGTGGTGGAACCAGACCCACACAATGTCATTTCCACCAAATTTGAAACTAGAACCAATACCCTAGGTACTTGTCGATTCCGATTCTACCCTAAAAATTTACACACCTATAGTTTTATCCCTAGTTAGTAAATCCGCGAATTATACGCCTAGCCGTATAATTCACGTATCATTCACGAATTTCCATATTTTATTAGCACATCCCTATTATTCTCGAACTATGTGCCTAAGACGTTTTATTTGCTAATTGTTCCCGTATCCGAATTATTCCCATATTTTTACAAACATATTTTTCACCAATTGCCGTATCGTACCCATAAAATTTTTGTACCCTTTTTTTTCCGTAGCCGTATTTTTGCCATATCAATTATATATTGTGTTATATTATTAGGTCTAATAGTTATTGGTTAATTGAATACTTTGTATTTGAAATGCTATATTGATTTCAACCAAGTGGTCAATGAAAAGTGCTAAAATCAAGATTGATATTGCCGTATTTTTTAAAATGTATTATTGACAATATACAGTATTAAACTCATATATACTTGTACCGTATTTTTCCTATATCCGAATTTTATGACTGAATTTTTACAAAAGTATTTTCACTATTTACCGTATCATACTCATAAAATTCTCCTACTGTTTTTTTGTCGTACCTGTATTTACTAACAAAGGCTTTTATCTATCAAGTAAAACTACTATAAGTCTATAACCACCTAATAAATTGCTACACTCCCACTATTAAGTAAAATTTCGTAAACCCTCAAATTGTTTAATCTAACCCAAGCCTAAAGCCCGAGCAAGCCCGAGTTTTTCAAACGGAGGCTTTTTACCCGACTCGGGCTTGCATTTTAAGAAAGGATATAAAACCTAAGCCCAAGGTTTTTACATCCCTACCCTAAGTACTCATTTTTCTAATAGCTATTACAAATTTCTAAAATTAATGAATTTTTAAATAAAATATTTTTATGATTTTAAAAATAATATCTAAGTATAAAAATAATCTCTATAGTTAATACAAAATTAATAAACAAATGCTTATTTTCATAAATAATTAAAAATTAGACCAAAAATATTTACGAAAAAATTATTCATAAAAATATTCAATTAATAGTAATACTACACTCATTAACTTTCTCTTACAAATGCGACGTGTCAGCTCGCAATTGGTCAGTTCGTAATGGGTCTCACCAACCCAAATGTGAACTGATCAATTGTGAACTGCCATATGACCCACATCAACGTTTGTGAGAGAAAATTGTGAGAAGTGTTTGTCAACTTATTTTTGTGCACTTTCAAATTTTAGATTTAGAACAATAAAAAAGTGAAGAGTGGGAATGAAATATGAACAGTACTCTTGCATGCTACAGCCCACCCGTTGTACTTATACGTTCAAAAAGTAAATGACTTTTTCCCAACCCAAGGTTTGCCTTAATGACATTTTCACACCCAAAAAGTTTCAAAATACCACTTTTTCACTCAAAGTTAATAGCCATTACTACCCAAAGCCGATCCTAGTAAATTCTGATAGCGAAAATTCTCTTTGTCATCACCATTTGAACATCTAGTCCCTTCTTTACAAAACCTTTGTCATTTCGGCATTTGATTTCTTGTCAATTGTCGACAAGTACAAAGCTAAGGTTTCTTATTCTTTGTTGATTTTCAACTAATTCTGGTGGCGAATATTCAATCAGTCACTATCATTCGATCCACCGGCCTCCACTTTACAAATTCTCTTGGTTTATTATTATTTTCTCTCCTTGTTGTATAATGCGTATTTTGTTAGTAAGTCAGTAGTAGTTAATTGCTGGGTATAGTTAAGATTAGTTGTTTGAGTTAGTTACTTTGGTTACTTTCAACTATGGTTAATTAACCATAGTTACTGAAATGTAATAAGTGTGATACTGTTTTACTTTACTCTTTTAGACTTGAATAATAAAGAAATCAGATTCTCTTTCTCTTCTCCCAAATGTGTTCGTAGATGGTATCAGAGCAGTGATTCTTTGCTGCCAAATCAACAAATTCGACTGAAGAATTATTCTTTGCTGCGTAATCAACAACTTCGACTGAAGAATTATTCTTTGCTGCAAAATCAACAACTTCGACTGAAGAATCAAGCTCAAGTTTGAAGTTGCGTCTAAAATTTTTCAAGATTGATTTTTCTGCTTCACCATTTCTGTTCAGAATCAAGCTGATTCGTTCCAGATCAATTTAATTTCATTAACAGCAGATGTCAAATATCACAGATTCAGGTTCCCCTCTTTACATTCACCCATCGGACACCCCTGGTTCAATTCTGATTTCAGAGCAGCTTACCAGAACTGAGAACCATGGGATATGGAGTACTGCCATGACGGTTTCGCTAAGGGCAAAAAATAAATTGGGATTTGTTGATGGATCTTGCGAGAAATCGAAATTCAATGAAGGATTGCGTGCTCAGTGGGAACGCTGCAATTCTCTGGTTTTATCATGGATTTTTAATATTGTCTCAAAAGACATTTTCAACAGTATTGTGCATTCAAATAGTGCGTAACAAGTTTGGCAAGATCTCCAAGAACAATACAATAAAGTGAATGGTACAAGAGTGTTTGGGATTCACAGGGAAATTGCTAATCTAGTACAAGGTACGAGTTTGATTGCAGTCTATTATAACAAATTGAAAACTTTGTGGGATGAACTGAGTTCGTTAGTGAGTCTACCACTTCCAGACAGTGATTCAGCTGAGGCATATTTGGCTCATCTCAATCAGTAGAAGCTTTTGCAGTTTCTAATGGGACTTAATGAATCGTACACCTTGGTAAGGAGTCAAATCTTATTGATGGTGCCTCTGCCTTCAGTCAAGCAAGCATATTTCATAGTAAGTCAGGATGAAAGCCAGAAGGTCTTGACTGGTTCCAATCACAACACTAAGGTTACTACAGCGCTATATTCACAAGGCAATCAGAGGAATCAGAATCAAAGCTCAAAATACAAGGGGAAGAAACCCTACATAGAGTGTGACTACTGTCATGCTCCAGGGCATAAGAGGGAAACCTGTTATAAACTACTTGGTTATCCAGCTGATTTTGTGTTCACTAAGGGCAAGTCAGGGACAAAACCTAAAGCTAATCAAGTCCACTCAACTCAGGATCAGTTGGTGAACTCTGAAACAGTAGGTGACAATACCAAAGGAGGAGCTAATCTCGGTAATGTGTTAACTCCAGAGCATTATGCACAACTACTTTAGTTGTTGGGAAAAGAGAACATGGGTGCATCGTCTGCTAATCTAGTAGGTACAATTGTGTCTCTATACTCAAAATTTAATAATTTTGATTGGATTCTTGATTCTGGGGCCACTAACCATATGACACATGATTTCCAAAACCTTGAATGTTCTGTAGCTAGTAGTCCACCCATAACAAGTTATGTAGGACTTCCTAATGGAACTAAAACACCAATCACTCATGTTGGTTCTGTAAAATTGTAAGAAAATTTGTCTCTTGAAAAGGTTTTACATTTACCAGATTTTAAGTATAATTTGATGTCGATATCCAAATTAACTACATCAAGTAACTGTTCAATCACATTTTATCCAAATTTTTGTGTTATCCAGGATCTTTAGAGTGGCAAACTCAAGGGGATTGGTAAGCAATATCAAGGGCTATACCATTTTATACCTTTTTCACAAATAAAACACTGTCTTCTAGTTTTAGGAATAAAGAATTCTGTTTGTAATTCTTGTGATGTAACCTTTGATTCATCAATAAAAAGACCTTTAGTAATGTCCACAACACTAAATAGTAATGACATTGTACTTTGGCATAGGAGATTAGGACATGCACCCTTACCAGTCCTACAAAAATTACATCATGAATTCCCTGCACACTCTAATTTTCACTGCGACATTTGCCCTTTAGCAAAACAAACCAGGTTACCGTTTGCCTTAAGTGAAACACATACATTACATATCTTTGAGTTGTTACACTTAGATGTTTGGGGACTTTATAAGATCCCAACCCAAGGAAATGCTAGGTTTTTTCTCACCATAATAGATGACTTCTCTAGGACTACATGGCTTTTCCTTATGCAACACAAATCTGATGTGTATCAAAACTTAAAAGATTTCCTTTACATGGTCAAAAATCAGCATAATAAGACCCCCAAATGCATTAGAACTGACAATGGTTTGGAATTTTTCAATCATCAATGTCATGATTTATTGGTTGGTTTGGGTATCATACATCAGAGCACATGTGTGTACACTCCACAACAAAATGGAGTTGTAGAGCGTAAGCATAGGCATATACTTAACATAGCTAGAGCCCTTAAGTTTCAATCACATATTCCAGACTATTTGTGGGGTTATGCAGTCAAAACTGCAGTCTATATCATAAATCGATTACCCACTAAAGTCTTAGATGGTCTCTCACCTTATGAGAAGTTCTTTGGTCATAAGCCTAAGTTGAACCACTTGAAAGTTTTTGGATGCCTAGTATATGCTACCAATTTGATTCCCCATGACAAGTTCACTCCTAGATCTACTCCTTGTGTGTTTCTTGGTTACTCTACTACAAAAAAGGGTTACATTTTGTATGATTTACATTCCAAATCTGTTCATATTAATCGTGATGTGGTTTTCCATGAATATATTTTTCCTTTAACTTTACATAAATCTAGTCAACCACCTTTTATCCGAGAAACATTTCTGGAACAGGATTTTGAAACTGCATCTTCCACTATTTTTTATTTGCATGAAAATACAAATGATCTTCATGAAACAGAACCAGCAGATCCTATTTCTCCAGCTTCATATAGTTCACCCAATCTGCCTAGTACCTCTTCATAACAACCTGGTCCTCTTAGAAAATCTGGTAGAGTCACTAAACCACCTATTTGGACCACTGATTTTGTATGTCCTACATTACCTAAAACTAATCTAACAACTACTGTCCAATATCCTATTCAGAATTACATTTCCTACACACATCTTTCACCACCCTATCAAACATGTCTATCTAGTATATAAGCCATTACTGAACCCACTACATTTACCCAAGCATCCAAAGATCCCCGCTGGGTTATGGCTATGCAACAGGAAATTCAGGCTTTGGAAAGAAATGGCACATGATCTTTAGTTCCCTTACCACCTGGTAAATCTCCAATAGGGTGTAAATGGGTTTATAAACTCAAGTACAAGGCAGATGGCACTCTAGAACGGTATAAGGCAAGATTAGTTGCCAAAGGATTTACTCAACAAGCTGAAATTGATTATGAGGAGACATTTTCTTCTATGGTTAAGATGGTAACAATTAGATTAGTCTTAGCCATAGCATCTATGAAGGATTGGCCTCTTTACCATTTAGATGTTGATAATGCCTTCTTGCAAGAGGACCTCCAAGAAGAACTTAATATGAATATACCATAGGGTTTCTCTAAACAGCATGATAAGTCCCTAGTATGTAAGCTCCATAAGTCATTATATGGCTTGAAACAAGCCTCCAGGGCATGGAATACAAAGCTTACTACTGCACTAATATCAAGTGGCTTCCACCAATCACCATTGCATCATTCTTTCTTCTTTAAGAAAGACAATTCTAATATTGTGATTTTGCTTGTATATGTTGATGATTTGGTTATCACAGGTAATGATCATTCTCTTATTCAAGCTACTAAAGATTTGTTGCACTCTAACTTCAAGTTAAAAGATCTTGGTTCTCTTAGATATTTTTTAGGTTTTGAAGTTGCTAGATCATCCAAGGGCATTAGTTTGTGCCAACGGAAATATGCGTTAGAGTTGATTGCCACCTCAGGTTTGGCTGCTGCTAAACCAGCCTTGATACCCCTTGATCCTCAGCAGAAGTTTACAGCAGTGGAATTTGATGCTTCATTTCCTAGTGCACCAGATCCTACCTTAAAGGATCCCTTTGTTTATCAGAAATTGATTGGGAAGTTGCTGTATTTGTGTCATACTAGACCAGATTTGAGTTATTCTGTAAATCTACTTAGTCAGTTTGTGCATCAGCCAAAACAGTCCCATCTCAATGCAGCTCTCAAAGTGGTCAAATATATCAAAGGATCTCTTGGTTTAGGCTTGGTTTTTCCAGCAAATGGTTTTATCCATCTTCAAGCTTTTTGTGATTCTGATTGGGCTTCTTGCCTTATGACGCGTAAGTCTATTACTGGTTTCTGCATCTTCTTGGGAGGTTCTTTACTGTCATGGAAATCTAAGCGTCAAGTTACAGTTTCCAGGTCATCCTCTTAAACAGAATATCGTGCCATGGCTTCTACGGTTTGTGCACTTGTATGGCTTACTCAACTTTTGACTGATCTTGGCATTTCGGTTCCCCAGCCTATTCCTCTTGGGTGTGACAGTCAATCAACCATCCATATTACTTCTAATCCAATGTTTCATGAGCGTACGAAACATATTGACATTGATTGTCATATAGTTCGTACTAAAATCAAGGAAGGCCTGCTACATTCTATTCACATTCCTACTCAAGAACAGCCTGCTGATTTGTTCACGAAGGCTGTTGCTGGTCCTCTCCATCGCCATTTACTATCCAAGTTGGGAGTGTTTGACATTCATCACCCGCCAACTTGAGGGAAGGTCTTGGTTTATTATTATTTTTTCTCCTTGATATATAATGCGTATTTTGTTAGTAAGTCAGTAGTAGTTAATTGCTGGGTATAGTTAAGATTAGTTGGTTGAGTTAGTTACTTTGGTTACTTTCAACTATGGTTAATTAACCATAGTTACTGAAATGTAATAAGTGTGATATTGTTTTACTTTACTCTTTTAGACTTGAATAATAAAGAAATCAGATTCTCTTTCTCTTCTCCCAAATGAGTTCGTAGAAAATCCCTCTTACCTTGGCTCTTGGTAACTCGTCAAATGCCGGCTGAAAAAGTGAAGTATATTTTAGATATTAACAAAATATAAACTTTAGGTGGAAAAGTTGTATTTAAAAATTTTTTAGGTGAAAAAATGTCATTAAGACAAGTCTTGGGTGGGAAAAAGTCGTTTACTCTATGTTTAAATTATTAATTTCAAAGTTTCTTTTTTTTTTTTTTAATGACTAGAGGTGTTTATACTAGCTGTGCACACTTCAATCTTTATACATAATACTTACCTATTTGGACATTTGATACAACTCTTTGATTAATATATTATTTATTAGATATTTTATTGAATTAATTTTTATATACTATTACGTATTTATTTTGTAAAATGTTTGAATAAGAGTACAGTTAAGTAAAATCTGGATTTGAATCTGAGCGCGGATCACCGTAGGATTTGTAGATGGAGCCATATCCGTTATCGAACTTCACTTGGTCCACCAGTTGCCAACGTGGCACTCCTATATAAAGCCCGGTTTATTTCTTTCCTGGGAACGGAAGCAGTTGATTTCAGTTTATGTCTTCCACGCCAATTTGTCTGAAACATCAATCCTACATCTCAGCAAATCGATCATCTCAGTATTTCGAAACCCTAAATTAATTATGAAATTGCAGTGTTGGTAAACTGAAGAGCGATAAGCCATGGGTAGTAACGAGTTCCGATTCTTCTTGTCGTGCGACATCAATCTCCCTGTAACTTTTCGCGTCGAGAGATTAGAAGGAACTCTCCCTTCTGTTAACTCTCCAAATTCAGGTATCTCTCCACTAAATTTGAATTTTGATTTTATTTTTTATGAGTTTTTTTCCTATATTCGTTGCGAATTTCCCCATGATTGTTACTAATTTTTTTTTTTTTTTTGAATAATTCTTCAGTAATTGATTCCACTACAGAAGAGAGGAGACCAGAGTTGTATGTTGAGTGTGCGTTGTACATTGATGGTGCTCCCTTTGGCCTTCCAACAAGAACAAGGTTTCACCACTTCATTCAATTGTTTGCTTGTATTCAAGTTTTTGAAGAATTTCCTATTGTATGCTCTATTGTTTCCCACATGATGCCAAATCAAAACCCAGCTGGATTTAGTCTCACGTGTCATAAGCATACGCTTTTTCTTTTCTATTACTTATCATGTTTTTGGTTTCCTATACCTGATGGCAGGTTGGAATCTATGGGACCATCATATTGCTGGAATGAACTTATTACACTGAGTACTAAGTATCGGGATTTAACTGAACACTCCCAACTTGCTTTAACAGTGAGTTAGAAATTTCTCTTTTTCTCTTTTCAATTGATTTTATCTGTAAGAGTTAAATTATGGGTTTTGAGAGGAGCGCATTGTGTTAGGCTGTGGTCTTGTAGGATTTGTGGGACATTTTGTACATTTCTAGGAGCTGATATTTCATTCATTGTTGATCTCCTTGGAAATTCAGGTTTGGGATGTTTCATGTGGAAAAGATGAGGGATTGGTTGGTGGGGCTACCATACTTCTCTTTAACAGCAAAAAGCAACTTAAAACAGGGAAGCAAAAGCTTAGGCTTTGGCAAGGAAAAGAGGCAGATGGATCATTGCCAACAACTACTCCTGGAAAGGTTCCTGATCATCAATTAATAAAAATCATGGAACTAATATGGAAAAGTTTCATCATGTTATTTGTATGACATGGCTAATCTTGCTGCTATACCGCATTTTGTCCTCCCATAGGTCCCTAGGAATGAGCGTGGAGAGTTGGAGCGCTTGGAAAAGCTTGTAAATAAGTATGAACGGGGGCAGATTCAGCATGTTGATTGGCTGGACCGTCTCACATTCAAAGCTATGGAGAGAATCAAGGATCGTGAAAGCTGTAGAAATGGAAATTCATATTTATATTTGGTTGTTGATTTCTGTAGTTTTGAACACCGAGTTGTTTTCCAGGTAATCCCATCTCCAATCATTTGATTAGTTATTGGTTTATATTTTTTTGTTCAATTTGTATGAGTGTCCAAATGATCTTCTGAATAATATCAGTGTAGGTTTAATTTTCTCTTTGATGCTCTCGCTTTTTCTTCCTCTTCTATTTTTAGTTGCTTTTCATTTCCTTAGTCATATAATTCTGCTTGATGAATTAGCTATGGGAATTCATCAAACATTGTGTAGTTTGGGAAATTGTCATTGAGTAACCTTGGCTTGACTGTGGTTTTATAAAAATCACTATTATGTTATGGCCCAGAAGTTTATTAAGTTGTCCCTTTCTCCAATATGCTTTCATGTGGGAGCCTGTTTTGTTATAAAGTATGTCAATGAAATGCTAGCGGACACTTGTCTATATTAATGATATGATACTGTTTTAGGACTACCTGATGTATCCAAGATTCTTTCTAGTTTTATTCAGCTCTAGTATCTTGGTTGATTGTACTAGCTTTAATAATTCTAAATCCAAATTTTGATACTGCGTCAATATTCGTCTCTTTCTTTTCAATTGATCCTGGGCTTAGTAGTCAATATGTTAGATGCCTATTATATCCATTTATCATATCAAACATTATTTTTTCTTATGCACATGTTGGCTAGTTGAAATTGATTGTATTACATTGACCTAAATATTGAATGTGGTGGTGCTTATTTTACGAAATGTAGGAATCAGGAGCAAATTTCTTACCGCCACCGCCTATAACTTCAACGAACGAACTTGTTACAGTCTGGGACCCAGAAGTGGGAAAGATGAATCCCTCTGAGCACAAGCAACTAAAGCTAGCTCGGAGTTTAACCCGTGGTATCATTGACAGGGACCTTAAACCAAGTTCTACTGAACGGAAGTAAGCCTACAATCTTCTTATCAGAAATATAAAAAATTTTCTTTTCTAGCTTTAATGAGAGAAGTTAGCAGTTTATATTATGTTTTTTCCACAATTTCTCCCTTCATCTAGCTGATGCATTTCACTCACATATTAAATTAGACTTTGGTTGCCATGCTTCATAAATTTTGGAGCTTCAGTGTTGAATGCTGAATTTACATAAAACTTACTTGGTCTATACCAGAATGTTCTCATTTTTATTATTAAGTAATTATTAAATTTGAAAAAAATGCCAATTAAGGGGATTTACCCTTCTGCACAGGAAATATATAAGAGATCCTCCAAAAGGTCTCATGTCTTCTTCCAAGTGGATTTAGCTTTCTTTACAGTGGCATAACTTTTGGTCCATTTGGTCTTGACTGCTTATTAGTTCAATGGCTTGATTTATATTACTTTATTTGTGTTCCATATTTTAGCAATGCTTCCATGATATGCCTTTTATTGATTGGTTATTTTGGATCAAGAAGCATATCATTTTTCCTAATTCTTGATTGTAGGTCAATACAACGAATTCTAAAATACCCACCTACGAGGACTTTGAGTGGAGATGAGAAACAGCTCCTTTGGAAATTCCGTTTTTCACTAATGTCTGAGAAGAGGGCTCTCACAAAGTTTCTCCGAAGTGTTGAATGGAGTGATGTTCAGGTCTGCATTTTTAGCTTCTTGTAACTATTAATGCATGGGCCTCTTAATTGGAACATTGCTCGTATCTTGCTTTCCTTATTTCTCTTCCCAAATTCCCAAATTTCAGTGTGTTATGATAATTCATGAATATATCAGTTTTCTAAATTGAACAAGAATTTCAGTAATTTATAATTTTTTTTTTAATTTCGATTTTTGATTTGCTGTCATTTTAGGTTGCACTAGCTCACCTTACTCTATTTCTGCTTAATTTTGTGGATTAATATTGGGCTTTCCTGAAGATAGTTGTGCTGATGAAACTGCAGGAAGCGAAGCAGGCATTGGAACTGATGGGTAAGTGGCAAATGATTGACGTCTGTGATGCACTGGAGCTTCTATCACCTGTTTTTGAAAGTGAAGAGGTATGTGAATTTCTATGAGAAGTCTTTATTTTTTTAGAAAAATAGAAATATGTATTATTCATGCAGCCTTCTTTATTAAAAGGGTGTTGAAAGAATTCCTCTATGTAACTGTGGGTACTTTGTGGGGATTGCTGCTACAAAACTATATTTCTGTGTTTTGACCTTGAAGCTTCATGGACTCAATGGATTTGCTTTTGGCAGAATATACTAGAAAACCTTTAAAGTTCAAATTGCTTTGGTTCCTTATAAACATGCTACTTGCTAGTATTGAGTTCAGACTAATAAATGCAATGCAGTAGGAATTTAGATTCATTTGTTAACGACATAGATAAATTACACATCTTATAACAGACGGAATAATGCAGGATTGAAATCCCTTTTTAACAGGTCCGTGCTTATGCTGTCAGTATTCTTGAAAGAGCTGATGATGAAGAGCTCCAGTGTTACTTACTGCAACTAGTTCAAGCTCTTCGATTTGAACGCTCGGATAAATCTCGCCTTTCTCAATTTCTTGTACACCGCTGTAGGCACTTTACAAGTTCAACTAATGTTGTGTGTGTATGTGTGCATGTGCACGCGTGAGTGCATATGCAGTATGCGCATGTTTAAGGGCTACATTTTATTTATTGTTAAGTTGATTTGGTGGCATCTGAGAACATTCTTGAACTTTTACAGCATCAAGCAACATTGAGTTGGCTAGCTTTCTTCGCTGGTACGTTTTTGTTGAATTTCATGATCCCGTGCACGCCAAACGTTTTTATTCAACACATGAGATGCTCGCAGAAAGTATGACAAAGGTATGAGTTATTCATTTGTGTTCGCCTTTATATATAATATGCATTAATTTTGTGAATTTACATGAGAAAGTTCAACTTTTGAGAAAACCTTTGCTTTTTGAGTGCCCCCATCTCCTGCCCCTCTAACCAAGAATAAAATTATAATAACAATCAGATTTTCTAGAAGTACAGTGTTCCTCTGGAGTACCCATTTGCATTTCACTATGTATGGTTCTTAAGTATAAAAAGAGTTGATATACAATTGTACAACTTCAATGTATTATTTTCAATGCATGAAACATGGATCTGTTTTGGTGAAGAGAATTGATTTCTTGAAATACAGTGCAATCTAAATGATTCCACCGCAATTTGGATAAAGAGTTAAACAAATTGCTTCTAAATGATAAGTTGTTTGATACTGAATTTCTTCTTACTGTTCAATAATTACATCCTCTTTGTAGCAGTTGGCACCTGGTCTGAATGGAGAAGATGGATCTAAATTGTGGCACAGTTTGGTCCGCCAGACAGAATTGACTGCTCAGTTGGGTTCTATAACGAGAGATGTTGGAAATGTACGAGGCAATACCCAGAAGAAAATTGAAAAGCTTAGGCAGCTTCTTTCTGGTCTTCTTAGTGAACTTACTTATTTTGAAGAGGTAGTTCTTTGATATGAATTTTCTAGTCAATTGGGCACTTTATGACCTTCTGTGGTATATTTGATGTTTCACATCTATTCAGTTCTATAGTCAATTTTCACCTATTGTTTTCAAGTCTTCTGTTGGTCTGTTATATTTGCAGCCAATTCGATCACCACTGGCTCCACGTGTCCTCATTACTGGGATTGTGCCATCGGAGTCATCTATATTTAAAAGTGCTTTGCATCCTTTGCGTCTGACTTTTAGAACAGAAAATGGTGGAACTTGCAAGATTATTTTTAAGAAGGGCGATGATATTCGACAGGATCAATTGGTAAAATTTTAAACTTCTGCTATTGCTTAGAACAAAATCTTAGTTTATTCTTCCCGTCTAATTTTTCTCTCCCAATTCTCCATCATTCCGTTCTTTCACCCATCTTAACTAACTGGTAATCTGGGTGGGGAAGAAAGGTGGCAAGCCTTTGGAATTGTTCATATTTTGATGTGTGCTTATTCTAGGTTGTCCAAATGGTGTCACTCATGGATCGATTGCTTAAGTTGGAAAATCTTGATCTGCACTTAACTCCATATAAGGTGCTTGCAACTGGACAAGATGAGGGCATGTTGGAATTCATACCATCTCACTCTTTAGCTCTGGTATTATATCTTTTAAGGATGCTTCTTTGACTGGAAAAGTGAAGTTCATGCATACAGTTTTCAATCACGTTGTTTACCTAGATGATTGAGTAAAAAATCATTTAGTTGAAGATGCTTTTAAACTTTACCCATATTCAATATTTCACTTTTTTTTTTTTTCCCTCTCCAACAAGAAACATAAGATGCCATATTAGTTTACTTTGGAATATTTTGATTCATTTGTTTTGCTGATGTGATTTAATTTTTACAATGGCTGCGCAAAAGTACAGGATAACTTTTATCGTTTTTTGCTAACATATACAAATATGCAATGGGTAAGCTGTTTGTTTCCATATTCAGATTCTCTCAGAGCATCGAAGCATTATAAGCTATCTACAAAAGTTTCATCCTGATGAACATGGACCATTTGGAATTACAGCCACCTGTCTCGAAACATTTATAAAAAGCTGTGCTGGCTATTCTGTTATCACATACATACTGGGTATTGGAGACAGGTAATTCTTGTTCTTGTGTTGCAAACTTATGCCATTTTGGTCACTAACTGAAATTTTATTGTCACTGTATATATGAATTGCGCTCCTGAACACAGTAATATTTTTTCTGTCTGCAGGCATCTAGACAATCTTCTGCTTAGGGATGATGGACGTCTTTTCCATGTTGATTTTGGTTATATTCTTGGTCGAGATCCCAAGCCATTCCCCCCACCCATGAAGCTCTGTAAAGAAATGGTTGAGGCAATGGGTGGAGCAGAAAGGTTTTTTTCTAACTTTGTTCTGCTTTTCATGTTTGTCCTGATTTGCTGGACTATATCATCACTTGGGAGAGATATCTTTACTTGAGTGCATAAATGTTATTTTTTCCTTGCAGCCAATATTATACACGGTTCAAATCCTATTGTTGTGAAGCATACAACATCCTGAGGAAATCTAGTAACCTTATCTTAAATCTGTTTCATCTGATGGCGGGTTCCAACATTCCTGACATAGCTTCTGATCCTGAAAAAGGCATTCTTAAGGTACTAACTTTAATGTTTCTAATTCATAGACTTGTGTGTTTCCTTATATGACTGATATTTTGTTGGTTTTGTAGCTTCAAGAGAAGTTTCGGTTGGACTTGGATGATGAAGCCTGTGTGCATTTCTTCCAGGATCTCATAAATGAGAGTGTTAGTGCTTTGTTCCCTCAGATGGTTGAAACCATTCATAGGTGGGCTCAATACTGGCGCTGATTCAAGAAGCGGATTGGGTGTATCTTATGCCTTTTTACATGACCTGGTAAATATTTAAACTATTCTGTTGTGGTTCTAATTTTGTTTTCTGAAATGCAAATTATGAGCATACAAACATGTGTGATGTGTGTGTATAAATAAAAATACATTGGAAATGATATGCTAGAGCTTGATGAATGTTTGCATTCGTTCTAAATGGGTGTTTAGGTGTTTATTTTCTCCCGACATCCATATTTTATCATCGCAATATCTTCCTTTATGGTTTTTCAACGCTCTGTAGGTCCTAACTGGATTTTCAGAGCAGTTAAATGGTGCAAGTACTGCACTTTTAATAACTAGTTAACCAAGGGTGGGTCTGATAAATGGTAGTCAGTGTCCTCAATTCTGATGTTTAAGCTGAATTGTGCATTCTGATCTCTGACCAGCATCATGATTTCTGGAGCTAAGGCGAAGAAGAGGGTGTTATATCTCAGTAAAATTTAATTTCCTTAATATTTTATCTCCTTGACAGGATTGAAAGTGAATTTGAAGGGTAAAAGACAGCTTTTGAGGAAGTGCGATGGGCAGAGGGGAAGAAGTATGAGATTTGTAAATGGTTGTATATAATTATTTTTAAGCTGTTAGCTTCATTGTGGATTTGGATTAAACATTATCAGAAAATTTTGTACATATATTTATCTCAAAACTATATAGCGGTTCTTGAAGCCCATATTTGAATGGCGGTGGCTATGAACTTACTTTGTGGCTCAATGTATTTGCCCATAAAATCCAGGTTGGCATCACCACTGCTTGTCTAGGCTAGGCATGGTCGGTGCCACTGCCATTTACGCGTTTACATTTATTACTTCTTTATATTTTGACTATTTGATGCCTTTTCACATTAAATAGAAAGTTTCTTTCAGCTTTAGTAATGCCCATTGATGATTTTAATCATAAATTTAAGAATAATATTATATGTATAAATTTTTTCATACAAACTGATGTCTCATCAAATAAATGAAGCTTCATTAATAAAACAAATAATCTATCAATAGTTTGTATACTTAAGACCTGTTTGTTTTTTTAATTAAGTCTGAATCTAACTTAATTTTTAACTTTCAGTCTTTTTGTTTGTTTTTCAGTTGAATGTTCACTTTTTTCTTAAAATTCAGTTAATTACAAAACCTATATATATATATATATTACTTTTCACTTAATGAACAATTATTTGAATGATTTGTTTTAATTGTATTGACAACATTATCCTTATATATTATTTACAGTTAAATCCCTGCCCATTTACATGATCTTTTTTTAATTTGCTTCTTCTAACCCAACTTTTTTCACTTCAAAGTTCATGTTTTTATAATTATTGAACTCCTTAATCAAATATTGTAGTTAAATTAGGTTTCACAGTCCTTGTATTTACTTTTTTTTTTTTTTTTTTTTTTTTAAGCTAGAGTAATATTATGTTTGATTTTAAAAATATTATTATTTCTTTAGTATTGAATTAATTGGAAAAAAATAGAATTTTTTTATTTTGATATAATTTAGTTTATATTTGTCAACTTATTAGTTCTTACGTTATTTAAACTGATAAAAATTAAACCATTATTTAAGTAGTATATAATTTAATATCGAAGTGGCATACATAATTTAATTATATTTTTATGTAAAAAAGTAATAATTTAATATTTGTAACTAACTATATATATATAAAAAAGTTATATAACATAAAATTAATTATTAGGATTTATTCAGTTTATATACAAATTTAGTCTAATCCAGTTTTTAGATAAAAAAAATAAACGTCTCCTTAATTTATATGTAGCATCGCACTAAATTTAATTTGATGTGAAGGTAAATAAATATAAACATATCTTAATTCATTCTCAATATTATTGATAAATGAAAGGCTCAGATTTAAATTATTTAATTTAGAAATTGAACAATTGTTGTTGTTAGATATGTTTTTTTTTTTTTTAATTGTAATGTACTAATGTTGAATTTGTTAACTGGAACAAATTTTCTTATTCTTTAATTAATATTCCCCATATATAGTTTTCCGTTTGCCAATAAAAAAAAAAAAAAAGAATTATATATTAATTGAAAATCAAACACATTCTTGACCTCCCAAATCCCAATAACAATATTTTTTTCAATTACTTAGGTTTTCTCTTTCTCAATAAATTTTGCCCCTCTTCACTTTGAATTTGAACCATCAACGACTCCTTTCGTCACAGTACTTACAAAATCTCACTACGTGGCTATAAACAATTGGCGGGCAAGAGTAAGTCCATCACCCCAGATTTGAATAGCAGTCACTGATAGCGTAGATCACAGTCTTCCACTTACACTGAAGCCAGGTGCATTTCCGTTATTCTCAACAAATTCACTGCCCTTGCTCTCCTCTTTATAAATATCCCTGCTTCACATTTCTCATCCCATAACCCATATTTCGCGTTGTTGTGAAGCTTTATTCTCCTCTCTCCTTCTCTCAAGGTAAATTCAAATCTACGACTTCAATTTCTTTAATCCTAATCTATCTTCTCTTCTTCAATTTCGAAACTGTTAGATTCAATCTAACAATTAGCTTATTTTGCTCAATCATTTTTATTTTGTTTTTGCTTACTCAGATTTTGGTTTGCATGTTCATTGTTCTTTATTTATTTTTTCATTTTTAACGATTTAAGGTGATTCGAGAAGTTTACACACCATTTCTGTGAATTTCGACATTTTATTTGATTTAGGTTTTGTTATATTCCATTTGGTTAATGGATCAAATTTAGAATTTACTGTTTGGTTTCCGTGTTGATCTGATGATCGCGCGTTTAAACCGCTTAGATCTGTTGTATTTTTCTTCTTCTTATAGCTTGGCGATTTGAATTTCTCGGATTAAGAGTTGATCTCACTGTATATTATTTTAAGCTTTTCATTTTGCCGCCAGATCTATCTGATTTTGTATCATGTTCTTAGGAAGTCTTTGTCTCAGTTGTTGTTATTTCTTTAATCAGAAATAGATTATTTTTAAAAGCTGCCACGTATCTGTGCGAGTTTCTTGTGTGTCATTGACTAGAAACACGAATTATTTGTGTTGTACGGTTTTGATTTCTGTTTTTTGGAATATAAGTTAAATTGGTTGATTTCGGATGTCGTTGTGGTGATTATTAGGGTCTACAGCCAGGAAAAATGGGGTTGACATTCACAAAGCTGTTCAGCCGGCTTTTTGCCAAGAAAGAGATGCGTATTCTTATGGTTGGTCTCGATGCAGCTGGTAAGACCACCATCTTGTACAAGCTCAAGCTCGGAGAGATTGTGACCACAATTCCTACTATTGGTAAGTTCTTTTGGCGTATTATTAATGTTATTATCAGATTGTGTTTCTGGTATTGCTACAAATGATTTAGGGCCATTAAATTAGGAGCAGATGACTTTGTTTTGAAGTGTGATTTTCTACACTAAAGAAAAATTGTGCATTGAAGATGATGATTTTGAGTTCCTAGCAGAAAAAAATTAGGCAACCTAGTATGCTGAATGAGATCAACAATGCTTAGATACAGATAGTTTTTAGTGCATGAACACTCACTATTCAATTTTTTATTTGTTTCTTTCTGTTGGCTGTTTAAAGTTGTTTCTCTTAGCTTTGTGCATAGAGTGTGCAAGGGGAATCATGCTAATATAACTCATCTTCAGGGTTTAATGTGGAGACTGTGGAATATAAGAACATTAGCTTCACTGTGTGGGATGTCGGGGGTCAGGACAAGGTATGAAGAACTAAAATTTCTTGGCATTGAACGGGTGTCAATTGAATATCCATTCAACTGTCTTATCAGTAAGGCTTAAGTTTGCTAATTGGACTATTGACTCTCTAAAGTCCATCATAAAGAGTTTGTTAGTGGTGTTTTATTCATGTAATGGTTGACAATGATGTTTGCTTTGGCCACAGATTCGTCCCTTGTGGAGGCACTATTTCCAGAATACTCAGGGTCTCATTTTTGTGGTGGATAGCAATGACAGAGACCGTATTGTTGAGGCAAGGGAAGAACTGCATAGGATGTTGAATGAGGTATATAAGTTTAGCTAGTAAAATGTAGAATTATATATGTTTGTAGGCTTTCCTTTATGTTCCGTGCTGTTACTATTATAATCATTTAATGAATTAGGTAAACTGATGTTGCATTGAAATTATAGTAATGAAAAGGTGAATTGTGTAACATTGATAATATGCTTGAAGTTGTGGTCAACCTCATGATTACACATTATTCAAATAAAAAGATGATGTCAGATTCATGAAATGCTTGGCAATTAAATGGTAATCTGATCTGCTGATGCTAGCGACTATTTTAATTTTAATTCTGTCATTGCTTAGTTCTAGCATGGTGTGATAACAAGTGTCACAGTTGTTACTGATGTAACGGTCCAAAGATATAGTGTAAGGTGTAGAATTACAATCTGTAGAATAGATTTTCTATAGATGAAGACGTAAAAGCAAAACCATCAATAAAGCTGATTGATTTGTTTTGGTCTTCTGGCTACACTGGATGTTTTCAAAGATTTTCACTCTAAATGTCCAGTATAAAAAGATATGTTATATGGACAACTTGTATATTTCTGCGTAGCCATTGTCTACTTCATTTTCCTTTTTGTTTAAGAGGCTCATGGACCCATGGGCTACTCAGCAAGATACATCCCTCTCCTACCTTTACACAACAATATTTGTTTGCCTTACTAATCTAGCTAGCATCCTCTGAGTTTGAAGCATTTTAATGGTTAGTTGATCTTAAGCTCATTGGTTTCAGGATGAGTTGCGAGATGCTGTCTTGCTGGTATTCGCTAACAAACAGGATCTTCCAAATGCAATGAATGCTGCTGAGATTACTGATAAACTCGGCCTCCACTCCCTCAGGCAGCGTCACTGGTAAAATTGGCCGCTTTTTGCTGTTATTTTGTTAGCATCATGTTTTGGATGAGTTCTAATATGCTTCTGTTTTTTCAGGTACATCCAAAGCACCTGTGCAACCTCTGGTGAGGGTCTTTAAGAAGGTCTGGATTGGCTATCCAACAACATTGCTAACAAGGTGAGAAAGCATCCCATTTTACAAATTTTCTACAATTTGTAGGAACCAAACTGTGCTCAGTAGAAATTCTAAATTTAAAAGTATGTCGATCCAGCAGCATAAGCCTGCCCTCCATTTGTGGTCACTCAAATTCACTACATTGGGTTTTTTTACCATCATAGAATTTGATCTGTGCATTTTTTTATGCCTTGGTACTATATTCACTTTTTGCTGTTAGGTTTTTTCTGTTCTTAGTTTCTCTTGTTTTCTTGAATTGTAGGCATGAAGCCATTAAAGATCATTTGCGGACTGGCAATTCTGGATGCAGGGGTGAATATTATCTATTTTTTTTTTTTTTTTTTTAAAAATTCCTTTTTGCTTGAGACAGTTGGATTGTTGTTTTGCTATATTTGTTTTTAGGACCTTATGACTATATTGTAATAGAAGAATGGTTGGTTGGATACATGTACTTCCGAGCCTTCAGTTGGGTTTTAGATGTGATGCTTCTTTATGTAATTGAAACTAATTTGGTGCAACACCCCTTTTTGAATTTAGTTTTCTTTCATTGTGTTTCTATTGGAGGTGAGGTCATATTTATGTTTGATTAAGGTGGCCTAATTGGTTATTGAGCAAAGCAGTTCATCACTAACGACTGAAAACTTTTTGTATTTGGGTCGTGGTGTCATTTTAGCCTTTGATATGTCATGCACATCTTTGTTTGTCAACCATGACAAAGTTGGAGATAACCCAAAAAGAACCTCATCTAATCGATCCGTTGCCAAATATCTTTGTTATGTGGTGAAAGTTGAGTGTTTTGACAAATAAAGATATCTAGTTTTGCAACTTGTTTGTAGGATTTTTATTTTGTGGGTCTGCTCCTTAACGTGGCACGTGTTTTAGATGCAACAAACGCGCTGAGGGTTATTGAATTAGAACTTAGAAGCATGTTCTATTAGGTCAGAATCAATAACCATTTTATATTGCATAGTGTGGCGATTGTTGACAGCTCTGGTTTAAAATCTAGACCGAATCAGCCGGTCGGACTGGACCAATTGGGACTCGGTAGCCTCTTCGGTTTGGGTTACCATTTTTCATTATTTACAAAATCCATACTTTGATCGTCAGCAAACGAGGGGTTACCAAATGCTGGAGTTAGAGGGCTTTTGTAGAGTGGAAGTTGGTGGTTCAAAGGGTGATGTTGGATTGAATTTTGGACATCGGATTAAGTCGGAGTTTGGTCAGAAAATTCAACCCAATATGTGAGTTACGGTCGACGAACGAGGGAATTAAGTGTCGGCGTTAGAGGAGTATTGTAGAGTGGAGGTCGGTGGTTTATGTGGTGGTGTTTGATTGAATGTTGAACTTTAGAATCACTTGGAATTTGGTTGGAAAAATCAACCAAATCGCGACGGTATACATGAGTTACAGCCGGCAAATTGTGGGCTACTAAGTTTTGGGGTTAGAGGGGTTTTGTAGAGTGGAGGACGGTGGTTCAGGTGATGGTGTTAGATTGAATTTTGGCCGTCGGAATTTTGTCGGAAAAGTCAAAACGCAAACAAATCACAGGGGTGTATTTGCTAGATGTTAAACCTGTAGGGATTGATAATTTTTAGGGGTGTGTTTGCAAGATTTTAAACTTTTTGGATGACCAATTAGGCCGTCGGTTTAATCGGTTGGATTGGTCAATCTAGGACCCGATGGCCTTATCGAGTCCCTTAACGGGTCTGGTTTTAAAACAACGGTTGACAGTTGTATATAATTTTATTTATTGGTTTGTTGTGAGGGAGTCCATTGCCAAATTTAATCTATGGTTTTAACAAATTATTTTCTTGTATGCAAGTAGTGAGAAGCATGTTTGGTATTTTATTGCAAAGTGTTCTTTTAACTTGGAATCCTAACTTCAATCAACATAAAAATTACCCCATGACAATTTATTACAAACAGTTTAGTAAAATTTGTCATAACTAAAAAGTGGTCACCCATTTTCTCATCATATTCATAGTTAGATAGTTCAACTACGTGTATGAGAACTCTTATGAATTTGACCTATTTTTAACCTTTATTTATTATTTAATGATTAGTAAATGAGATATTATCAATTTTTAGCCTTTTTCAATGGAAGTTCCCAATTGTTTAATTAAGAGATGTTTAATTAAGGGACATCTACTTTACTGTTAACTTCAGCGGAAAATGATAAAATGACTTAAATGCCTTTGATTTTTTCTTTTCTCTTTTTTTGGAAGTTAGTTTAGTTCTTACATATAAATTTAAAAATTTAAAAAAAAAAAACTAAGAAAAAAAGATTAAAATCAATTTTTTAGGGATATCAAAAAATAGAATTAAAAAATTAAAGGAAAATGATAATAGCTTTTTTTTTTTTTTTAATCTTTGTTTTTTTGCTATTTTTAATTTTTATTAATTTTATAAAAAAATAATAATTAAACATTTTCTAGTTTTCTTTTTCTTTTTAGTGTTTTTAATTTTTATTTTGTTAAAAAAATAACTTAAATTTGTTCAATTACGTATTTATCCTTATATAAAGCTAAATCTAACCCTAAGTAACTATTCATTGTTCTTTAATTGAAAAATTTGTAACTTATGTCTTTCTAATAAAATTTGAAAAGTTTGTGCCCTAACTGATAATATCCTACGTTTGTAGTTTTAGGTTTTGAGTTTTTGTCACAATGATAAAATAAATGAACAAACTACTATTGGGTGGTTTAGCGGTCAACTAGAACTCTTGAATGTATTACTTAAGAAGTCTTTAAGTTCAATCTATTTGGGTTGCTAATAGGGATGACCATTGAGGAGATTTACCTGGCTGTCAACTTCAAGACCTCGATGGATTAGTTGAGGGATTAGAATTCCACAATCATGTCATGTGCTTTTGTGGGAGTAAATGGAAATTTTAGTTCTTAAGGATTGGTAAAATATTAGTCCCCATATTCTAAAAAATAATGACATTTACCCCCTTATTGTTAAAATCCATTAGTAAAACCTATTAAAAATTATGTCAAAAAACTCAAATACCCTTAAATATAACAAAAATTAAATTCTTAATCTTTCCAAATAAAAAAACCAACATGAATTTTTTTACCAAAATTGTTTGATTACTAGGCAAAACATGAATCTTTTAAACAAATCATCTCAATTAAATCTCAAAATAAATAAAAATTAAGGTTATATTTAAAGTTATTTATACATGAGTATTGCTACTCATCCCAAACATTTATCCAAAATTTTACATTCCAAATGATGCATCAATATATGTGTATTAACATATCGTTCAATACATCATTATTTTAATTACATGTCAATACCACAAAGGATAACATATTACAATATTTATGATATGAATTTGGGATAAGTTATTGGGGAAAATGGTGTTATTGTTTATACATTTATTGTTAAATATTCCCTTCATTAGTTGATACTTGTGTAATAGTTGTTGAATTTAATATTTATGAGAATAAATGCCATTATTCCAAAAATCTTGTATCAAAACGTCAACTTTTAGAACATGAGGACTGAAATGTGCACCGACTAAAATAGTTTTATCTCTTTTCTAAGCACTGCAGCTAATTTACAAAAAAACTTGTTCTTGTTTAGGAAATAGCTCTGAAGGTTTTGTTTCTTTAAACCAGAGGGAGTTTCCTTTATTTAAACTATGGTGGGCAGCTTAGTCTAATTTCCCCTAATGCACATAGGTTATAACCTCTTCTTCTCTCTCTCTCTCTCTTTTTTTTTTTTTTTTTCTCCAAAAAAGAAAAAAAAGCAGCCTCTTAATCCTCCACCAAACATGGTTGCGATGTGTCCTAGTCATAGAAAATATTTAATTTGCACGTTGGGATATTTCTAATACTCATGGACAATCTTCAATCTAAACGTTATGTGATATTCGTTTTAAATATGGATAATACTATATGTATAAAGAAATTTGTAAATATATTTTTTTTTTGTACAAAATGATGTGACAGAAAATGAATAGAAGAGTAAATATGATGAGTTTGATTTTTTGTATTTTCTCTTCAATTCATCTCCTGTCACATCACTTTGTATAAAAAAAATATTTATAAATTTATTTATACATCTAGTATTATTGTTTAAATATATGTACATGATAGTAATTATGTGGTGGTGATTTTGGACGTGTTGATTCTGTTGCGTTATGTGCAGGAAACTACTGTTTCTGAACCCATCATGAAATAAAACCTAGAAAAGAAAGAAATAATCAATTAATTTCTCAACACACGCACTTGCGAATTAACCACACGCATCACAAAATTCTGAAGGGCATGCTTTCCAATGGAGAGGGATTGGTTGGTTTATGCACCCCAACTGAGTCCCAGCTCGCTAATAACCTCGGAAGGAGACGTGGTTTTCTGTCCAATCAAGTTAGGCAATAATAATTTGACTTTAGTCCCCGTGGACAGAGACCCCTGGAATAGTTTGAGAGAGCTATATTCCACAAACAACTGCATGATTCCCATTCTACCAAATTTCTAATTTTGGTAGGCTGAGCCTCAGTTATCGATTTGGTACACATCTCTTAAGTTTTGTAATTTTCCTAATTGCCAATAAGGTTTATGTGGAAGGGGCTGTATCTTCCTTTTCAATTAAACTGCATATATCTCAGTCGTTTTCTTCAATCACTCTGGATTTGGGTCCCTCTGACAATAAGAATTGCTGCGTCGGTTGCACCTGAAATAAAACAGTAACCATTAAAATATCCACACCCAACTACAAAACTAATGTCGTTCTCAACATATGCTTTACATTTATTCATATTACAAGAACATCAGGAATAATACTAAAATGCTATTATTCCAAATTAACGTTGTTATGCCTAGGAAAATAGGGTTGACGTGATGCTCAGTTAAGTGCGAAAGGTCAGACCTCAAGAAGAGTCCATTGACATTCTGGCACAGTCACGTCACGTGATGACGCAAGTAGCACACTTCTGTCAGTACAGTGGGTGCGTGCCAGACTGAAGAAAGGCTAGAGGATGTCCACGTGTCTAATCCTTGCAGCAAATCGCGTGAATTACTCTAAAATGTGGGTAATGTGACATAAAGAAGGATTTGCACGGATAATCCCACCAACTCACAGATTCAGTAATGATAACCTTAATCCATCCCACTATAAATTGGGAGCTCTCCTATCATTTGAGAGATTAGCTACCCTCTCTCTAGAACATATAACATTTGATACCTTGTATTATCATTATAAAGTCAGTCGGCTAAAGCGACTTGACCCTTATCATTAATACAAACATCAGTGGACATAGGACTTGCTTCCTTAGCATCCGAACCACTTTAAAACTCCTTTCTCACTGCATTTGCTCTTGATTCTTTCGCTTTCACGTGTGTCTTCTGGGCTAGCTCAGCATCTCACATGTGCGTTTCGTTAGTGTCAAAATCACGCATCAACAGTTTGGCACTGGAAGGAGGGCTGATTTGACATTCGTCTTTCATCAGAAGAATCTTTAACCTGTCGGCCCTACAACAGCAAATGGCTCACCGATTTGAACCTGAGAAAACCAACGAGAATACTGAGGGGATCCCT